GACCTTGTCCTAGGGCTTGGGGTAGTAATGGTGCACAGAGGTGACACTGTAGTTGCAGTCCTTGACACTGGACTGCAATGTAGAAATGTTGACTGTGACCACTGGGTGACAGTGTCCCATTGTAGGTTCATCCACTGTGACATAGGGTTCCCTGCTGAAGACACTGGAAATGGGAGGCTATGCACTTGGAGGAAGAGGTGGCATATACAATTCTGTACCTTCTGCTAAATTTTGCCCTGAGTATGAAACAGCTTTAAAATGGTGTTTATAGCTGGGCGTTGAAATGCACACCTGCTATTCTAGTACTTGGGAAATGGAGGCAGGAGGATGACTAAGTTCAAGGCCAGCCTGGTGTACACCAGGAGACTTTGTCTCCGAACAGAATAAAGAAGTGTTTACAAAAGTATGAAATGCTGCTTTGGAGAATAATGATAACTAACAGGGAAGCCAGGAAGGGCCCAGAAGGTGGACAGTGCCCTGAGCATCTGGTCACTCAGCACATTGGGATGGAACCCCAGAGGCTGCTGTTGTCACAGACCTCCCTGGTAGTCATCCCAGGACAGGCTGATGACTCAGCTATGTTGCTGCAGCCAGAACCTTGAGGTTCATTCTTACTGTTTTTTTGGTGATGGGGTTCACATACTAGACAGAGGCAAAGTGGAAGGTGTAAAGAAAGCATGGCCTGGTCCCATCCTCCAAGTGCTCAGGAGAAGCAGCTCCTGAAGGAGGACACCTGAAAATCAGCAGATGAATCAGGCCAGCTTCTCCAGTAGCCTGAACTCTGCCTGGTTACCTTGCCTGGTGCCAAGCCACCAGTGAACCACGGCAAGGCTCTGGCTGCCAGCCGGCTTTTCATTCATTCAATGGCTAACTTCTTAGGCGAGTTGGGGACAGAGTGGCCCTTGTTCTGCGTCTTGCTACCCAGTCATTGTTTACTGTCAAAGAGCCTGGAGCTGGACAGGGAGCCTCACACTCTGAAGCCTAGTCCCTGTTCTGTAATGTCCATAGTTCAGTGACATGGGCACAGTGACATCCTGGCCCACACTTCTTGGTGAAAATACTCCCACCGTGGCCAATTCTTGGCCTGGAAGAGCCAGGTGGCACCTGTGCTTTGGGGATGGGTCCATTTTATAACACATTGAGTAGGAGAGAGACAATATAGTTTCAGTTTGTGCTTGCTCATGTATTAGGGTTCTAGATACAGGGGTCCACACAAAAGGAAGCTTTTAAATGCCCCCCGGTACTGAGGGCTCCCTCACCTAGAATTAGATTTGCAGTTAAATTCTGCGGTGATAGGACCCTCTGAGATGGAAGTTCCTGGGGACCCTTGTCTTTTGAGTTATGTGTGTCTCAGGGACACAGTGCTCAACATATTTATCTATTTATTGTCTAAGAATTTCATATATGGACATGTCGTGTTCTGATTAAATTCACCTCATTCCCTCCCCTCCAGTTCCTCCCCCAATGCTCCCACCAATTTTTGATCCCAACTTTATTTAAAAAAAATCCCACTGAGAAGCTTGTTCTTTTTAAATGTTTTCTCTTTCAGTTTTGAATGGCAG